AAAAAATAGCACAAGACACTGAAAATAGGAAAGAATTGAAGAAAGCTCATTTGTAAATAATTCCTTTAATTTCTAGTTTCTCAAGCTATTTAATTCTTCTAAATAGGACTTAGTTATCTGAAAACAAATAGTTCTAGGAATAATGATAATTTCGCAGTCATTGGTTTGTTTTCTTCCCCTGTCTAAAGTATGCTTCTTGGGGAAGTTGGAAAGAGGAAGGGCTAGACATGAATATTTAGGCAACTCCAAGGATTGGGTTTCTTTAATATCTTTAAGTTGAATTGCTACTTAGAGAAAAATAAACTGTCCAGATGAATAAACGTAGTTTTGGATTGGAGAACTGCTTATTGCATTTTTTCCTGCCAGTTTAACTGGCATCCCCCGCCCCCCCTTACCCCCTTCCCCAATTTCACAATAATCCTATTGGATGTGTTCTGTGATTATTCACATTTTACAAATTCGGAAACAGACATAGAGAGGTTAAGTCACTTGGATAAATTCACACTGTTTTACTTTTGCCACAGCTGGTCTGTGGGCATGGACAAAACTTGAATTTCAGTTTCTGCAGCTGCAAAATAGAAATATTAACTTTTTATTGTTTTCATAAGATTTAAGCGAGAAGATACGTGTGAAGCAGCTGGCGAATAATACCAGATGAATAAATGGGGCTGTGAATAACTTTAAAATGTTGAGAAGGCAATTTTACAGAAAGAGCAATAGTTTGAAAACTAAAAAATTAAGGTAGTTCTAGAAAGGGCTTCATATTTTTAAGCTGAAAAATGGATGAATAGACATTTGTATAAGATGCAATAGGCATTTTACAGTGATGGAATGTTTCACAGTGACTAAAAACACTTCATTTAATTACAAAAAAAGAATGTTAAACTTTGAAAAGAAACAACATAAAGACACATGTCAAGGTCATGTTCTTAAGTGTTTGCTATTGACATTTTTCGTACTCATTCATCACTTTCATTTCCTTTCAAAGAAGAGGAAAAAGAAAAACGACCATATATTTCCTGAACTTTGACACTATTCTCCCTTTTTATTCTCTTTGATTTTTCTCTTTGTCCAGTTTTTTACAGTCCCATATTCTGGGCCTATTTAACCCATAGCCAAACCCCCAACAGTCACTATTGATAGCATTATATCGTAACCTTAGCAAGTTTTCTTTTTTAAGTCTTGTTTTTCCAACAGTTAAAACAATGGATCCAATTTACCTACTGTCCCAGAGTTAATATTTGGGGACTAATTTCTAAATTGTCT